CTCCTGATTCTCTATCAGCGCGAGGCGGTCCAGCAGCTCGGCTTTGTCACGCTGCAAGACCTCCAGTCGTTTCTTCTCCTCGCTCTTCCTCACGTCCTCGGAGGCTCCTGCCATGACCCAGTCCTCGTCCTTCGGAGCGGCGGCGGCGGCTTCCCCAGTCGGTGTGGCGGACGGTAGTCCTGGCGCAGCTCCGTCTGGGATGTTCCCGGAAAGTTCCCCCGGAACATTTGATCCTTTCGTCTTCGATGCCCCATTTGCCGACGGCGCCGCTGCGGCGTCCACCACGAATACTGGATGGGCCTTCGCAGGGCCACTGCTTGGAGAGAAATCCGGCTTCTCGCAGCGGCGCGTGCAGAGGTTGAGGCGCACGATGCGGTCGTTCTTCGTGATGAAGTGGATGGTCGCCGGCGGCGCCAGGCAATCCCTAGAAGATGTCCTGGCGCGGATACCAGCTACAAAAGATCTCGTCCATCTCCTCCGGCGTGAACGGCAGCTCCTTATCCTCACGCCGCTGATCGTTATCGTCCTCGCTGGCCTCATCCTCCTCGCTGGCCTCATCCTCCTTCTTCACCTCGGCCTCCTTCTTCACTTCCCTGCTGCTTCTCGCCTTCTTCCTCTCTTTCTTCTCTTCCTTGCTGCTCCTCGCCTTCTTCTTCTCTTTTTTCTCTTCCTTCTCACCGCGGCCTTCAGGCGCACTCCGCGACCTCGAACGCGATGAGGCCCCCACCTCGGGCGGAGAAGGGGCGCGATGCTCACGGAGAAAAGCTCCCCGATCGCGGTGGCGGTCGTCACGACGATCTCGATGATGATCATCACGATGCTTGGTGTCACGGCCCCCGCCTTCACCGCGCCGATCGTCGCGGTGCTTGGTATCACGATTTCCGCCCATCACGATCTTAAACATAGTCGCCGTGATATCATCGAGATCCACCTCAGCCGCCGTACAAGGCTTCGACGTGGTCAGCTGCAGCCGCATAAGCCGACCCTGGACGAAGTCGATGGCCTCGAGGCGGCCTTGCTTGAAGAAGATGGGCTTCTTGTTCGTTACACGCTCCACGATGTGATGGACCGTCGCAAGGTCAGGAAACTCCAACTCCACGCTGTGCCCCTTTTCGTGCGCGTTGGCCAGGATGCGATGGCAACGCGCGCATGCATCCTCGTCCTCCTGATCCTCACCGCGCCTTGCAAGGGCGCTCGCACGTTCATCACTGCCCTGTTCTGGGCCATCGTCGGTCTTCTGGTATAAACGCGGTGCAGGCATACTCTTGGGTCGAGGGTTCCCGGCAGAACTCCCCGGAGCATCGGCTCGAACCTCTCCCGAATGCCTCCGGGTAGGCACCGACAGGGGAGCGCGGCGCCACGGCACGCGGCCACGACGCTCTTCGGCACTGCCAGCCATGCCAACCCAGTGGATGACCGGCCCATGCACCTGCCTTTGCACCGGCGGCTTCGCAGAGCTCCGCTGGTTGTGCGACGCTGGCTGGCCACTCTTAGGCCCGGTCTTGTTGTACGGCTCGCGCTCGCCACTCTTGACCTTGGGGCACTCCGGGTCGCCACGCCAGTGGCCGGACTGATCACAGTCAGCACACCGGCTGTTGGCTTTGCGCTGGTCAGTAGTCCTGCGACCCGCCTGCAAGGAGCCGCTGGCGTTGATCTTCTTGGGGTCCCGCTGCCGAGGGGCAACGAATCCGCGCTTCTGACGCTGCGCTGCCGTCTTCTGCTTGGCCCTCCAACCGGCCAAGAACGCCTCCTGAAGATCCTCTGGTGCCTCGTACTCCTCGTCGTCAGGCCCGTCGTTGTCCGACGCCAGCTCCTCGTCGACCTCGGCGCCGTCCTCGAAGAGGATGCCCTCGCCCCCTCCGGGGTCTCCGTCGTCCTGGTCGTCTGCTTCCTCCTCGTCGCGCTGCGCCTCCTCCAGGTCGCCGTCGTGTTCATCGTAGTCGTCACCGTTCTCCACCTCGTGCACGTGCTGGCCAGGGCGGCCTCGAGGTGCGAATGGCCTGCGAGCCAAGGGAGGGTGCGGGAAGCGACCGCCCGAGCTCCCGGAGGAGCGCCCGTGCTCACGCTGCGCTGCCACAAACGGCGAGCGGCAAGGAAGCACCGAGCGCTTCTCGGTGTCGTGCACCTTCGAGTAGGCTGCCTTCAGCACGACCTCCATGCGCTTCGAGTCGTAGACGCCGCCGCAGTTGAAGAGCACCTGTGCTCGCTCTCTTTGCGACAGCCCAGCACCACGGAGCATCTTGCTCGCCAGCGCGCGATCGCTGATCGCTGAAGTGGGATCCTCGAGCTGCAACTCCATGCGCTTCTTCCGCAAGTACGTCGCCCAGTCCATGATGGGCTGCCCTGCCCGACGGTGAGCGCGCTCCCACTCCTGATGCACCTGATCCAGGCGCTCGCGATCCATCTTCTCGAAGGCGTCATCGTAGATAGCAAAGATGGTCTCGAGCGAGTCCTCGCGTCGGAGGTCCGACGCGTCAAATACCTCGATGAGCTCCTTGGCCCGACCTGTCACCTGACTGTAGATGATCAGGCCCAGCTCCACGTCGGAGAGTTGGTTGAGATTGCGGATGACCTCCACAGCCTTGCGC